CCCCAAAACCCCAAAACCCCAAAACCCCTATTCAAATAATCAGGATTGGAATAATAATAATTTACTAACATGAAAGCTTCACACAATTGGCTCTGGGATGACTCTCAATGAGTTGTCTCCGATGATTGCAATGAGCTTCTTCCTAAGAACAGTGTCTACAAATGGCAGAACAATAACAATGTTCTTGTAGCTGACAAAGGCCACGTTAGACCTATAATGAAGATGTGCGATAAAGATAACTCTGAGGGCTCAATGATGGTCCCACAGATAAAAGATGATGGAAAAATCGCAATTTTGCACCCAACACCAAGGCTTGGGTTATTGGTTGAGAAGATTAAGCATAAGAACAGAGAACGATGCTTGAAAGAATTTAAGAAGATAAAGAATTATTCATCATGGAGCTACTCTCATATTCACAACAAAAGTAATGGAGAGAATATTTCTTCTTGGAAGTACAAGTGAGAAGTTGACCGAAAGATATCATCACATAGAATCTTGGATACAATTAATGGAGGATCTCAAACACTGTTTCTGAGAATAAAAAAGTAGTCTTCGCCTCGGTCCAAATAAATAACTTCTACATAATAATTTCTGCAAAACTTATATGCCTCTTTTGGGGTCCTTCAAGCTGTATCTGTGCTTATCAGGTAGCGTCAGAATTTTCTAAATATTCCAAGATTATTAATGATTTTTGCCACAAACCAGTTAGCAATATTTCTCAAAAAGCCATTAAACCACAAAATGTCTTGTCAAATTTCAATTGGAAAAGGAATCACCCTATTTAGGATTATTAATGCTGCGGACATATAAATAGGACCTGCCATTACTGAAGTTTTCTAATAAGAGGCCTAGGGAGTTTTGAAAATTTTCAGAATTCTTGGAGAAATATTAAATTGGCATATCAATATTTTCTGCAATAAACCATATTTTGGTAGGTTTAATTTGTTGCTGAAAAGGACAAAAATAAGAGCCAGCAGAGCGAAGAGAAAGCCAATAAAACACCTGAGCATTAGTAGAGAAAATAACTGCACGCTATGGAGACTTTTGCAACTATATGAGTTCAAATGGTATTCTAGTAAAGAAGTCTCTTACGTTATATCAGCCATCGAGACATCTTTCATACTTTCTCTATCACTCAGGGATTCAGAACGTTAACCTTGAGATTGGTAGAAGGTTGATTTCTAGCATCTAGGCTGTCTTGCAATCAATAGCAGATTTTTCTGCTTAAAACTGTTTGAATGGATTAATAATAACTTGGGTAAATTAGTTTAGCAAACGATGACTTCTCTGTTTTTATACCACCATTCTAAATTATTACAAAAGATAGCTGATGACATATCTTTGAGACAGATCATTTATAAACTCGAGAATACTCTAATTCCTTGATGAAAAATCCAGCTAATCATAACCCTCATTTTGGCGAAAAATATAAGTTCATAGCAAAACTATCTTATTTAAGGCTTCCTTGTCAATGAATAGATTTCACTGGTAAAATTTTGCTTAGAAATAAAAAAAATATTCAACCATATTAAACCTATCACCAGTTGTAATAATTCGCCAAAAATTCCCACTTATATTAATATAACCTCAATCAAAATCCACCGCCCCGGGGTTTTGGGGTTTTGGGGTTTTGGGGTTTTGGGG